TTAGTTATCTAGAAACTCTGTCTCGCAGGCTTTCCATTCACTTCATTGCCCCTAAACCATGTTCTCCTCTCCAACTGATACACTCTATTCTGAACAAAGTCAACTTTCTCCTTTCAGGCACTACCACATTCTCAAATGTATGGTGTATATCTATGGCTTTAGTTCTCTCTCTGCCCAGTCATTCCTTCAAGGCCTTCAATGGGCCCACAGGATGATATGACGCTAGATCTAGAGATGGAGGAACCTCAGAGACCATCTAGTCCCATCCCCTCAACTTACTGAGGTGATTTGCCCAAACTCCTGCACAAGATTTTAGATAGCCTCAAGGGATATCAGAAGTTATCTATCCAACCTACTCAATTTATAGATGAGGAAACTGATGCCCAGACAGAAGTGATTTGCTTAAAGACACATGTAGGAATATAGATTTGGTGCTGAAAGAGATCTCAGAGGCTATGTAATGAAACCTTTTCATTTTACTGATCTGGGAACTGAAGCTCAGAGGCCTTAATTGACTTGCTTCGGGTTATTTACACAGGTCATCAATAGAGAGGCAGGATTTAAACCCAGGCCTTTTTGACTGCAAATCCAAGTTCCTTCCATTCTAACACAAAATGGCCCCATTGCCAATCCCCACTTTCTCTTTCTGTGTCCAGCTAAGGACTGTTGTTGTCCAACAGCAATATCTAATTTGGTGACTCCAAGGTGAGGAAAAATGGAAAGGAGGAAAAAAGAGCAAACCCATTTAGTTCTGGAGGCAAGCTGAAACAAAACTTTCTAGGGAGTGCTGTTCCCTTAATCCTAAACCTTCCTCTGTCCCATCCTCTACCTTCAATTCAAAAAGTTATTAGCTAGAAGCCTGAGTAGAGGAAGCACCAAGCCAACCTCTCTCAACATTCCTCATTAAACAACTTTAAAATAATGCCTCACATCAAATTCTCGACTGGCAGAGCCAACAAAAGATCAGGTTGAGACATTCTTACAAGCCCAAAAAACTTAAGAAGCCAGAAGGCAAGATCTGTAACACAGGGGTGGAGGCTGGCCCGGGGCCCATGTGCAGGAAACACCAGTGGTGGGATGAGGTGGTGGATGGAAAAGGAATACCATGTAAATCAGTTAGTACTGATGACTTTGATTTACTTTTAGTGGGATTGTTGGATTAAGCTCCCTTCTTTAAGAAAAGCTAGCCCTAACAGCTAAGACAACCTAACAAAGGTATTCTCTTCAGTCCTGGTTACCGACAGATTTAGTGAATAGACAGATTGATAAGACTTCATCACTTAGTAGAAGATAATTTCGAGTAAGACATATATTATTGTAGGAACAAAATAATGAAAGTATTAGAAGACTCTTTTCACACTATAACAGCCACATTGTACAATGACTGATGTTGATAAACTTAAGCCTTCCCAGCAATACAAGGATCTAAGACATCTCCAAAGGCCTGGTGATAGAAAATGCCATCCACATCCAAAGAAAGAACTATCGACTTTGAATGCAGATCGAAGTATACTATTTGCTATTTTGTTTTCTTCTGTTGAGTTTTGTTTCCTCCTTCTGTGGTTCCTCCTATTGGTTCTAATGCTTACAACATCACTAATGTGAAAATATGTTTAATAGGAATATATAGGTATAGCCTATATCAGATTGTGCACCATCTTAGGGAGGGTGGTGGGGAGGGAGGGGAGAAAAATTTTAAACTCAAAAGCATATGGAAGTCATTGTTGATAAATCAAAATAAATTTTAAAAAAAAGAAGACTCTTTTCAAAGGTTAAGTTCCCCTTTCTAGCAGCTGAGGAAGGGAGGTTGACAAAAGATTAAGTTCTTCAGACTTAGGGAATAAGCTCCCTTATTTTTCTTCAACTAGAGCTTACATATGACTTAAGTGGTGTAATGTTCTGAGGTTGGGTTGCCCTTTCTGGCAAGTGCAGGATGGGGAAGGGGGGTTGGGGGGGGCGGGGTGACTGGTAACTACAAACCATAAGTTCCTCTTTGCCAGTCTTAGTTGAAACTATAGGCCCTTTGGAAGGAAGCTTTCTGGTTTCAAACTGCTTCAGCTGTGGGGCAAAGACATCTAGGGTAATCTCACTTTGACAGCTGAATGTTGCCAACAGTAGGAATTTGGCTTCAGAAAGCCTGGGAGAAGCAAACCAATCAGATGCCTGCCTTATTTAACTGAATTATGCTCAAAACAAGTTTCCTAAGATGGCTGTAATTTTTTAGTTCCTCTTTTCTGTTACAAAAATAAACTCTGAAATCACTCCTTTGTCACTAATTACTGAGGAATTAGTTGACCTAAGAGGAACCTATCAATCATTACTATGAAATCATTATTTATTTACTTGGAAAATTTGTACCTCAGAATGATTTTCTATTTTATTCTATTTCTATTCTATTTTATTATTACTATGTTATAGTTATTTTGTTAATTTTAATAGTCAGAAGCAGCAGCAGCTTTGGGAGCTCTCAAGCCAGAGACAATAAGGGGACCTAGCAACTGGTTAGAAAGAGATGACAGAGACCCTGTGCTAGCTCAAGACACAAGATTGGAAGCTGTTTGGACACTCCATTGCTTATACAGACTTCTGGGTCACAATTCAAGGGCAGCAATGAGCACATTCTGACAAGTGCGAGCAGAGACCCTGGGGAACAGTATCACTTGAAATCCCAATGGAAAAAGGGTACTGAGGGGTAAGCTCACTTCTGGTCAAAAAGGAGGTGAAGGGGCAGCTAGGTGGCCAGTGGATAAAGCACTGGCCTTGGAGTCAAGAGGACCTGACTTCAAATCCAACCTCTGATACATAACACTCACCAGCTGTGTGACTCTAGGCAAGTCACTTAACCCAATTGCCTCACCAAAAAAGAAATAAATAAATTTAAAAAACAAATGGAACAGTGACTCCCTGTAGCAATATCAATTGCACTCCTAAGGGATCAGGGGTTCTTCCTAGGACCACAGCATACACCAGGAAAGCAATGACCAAACCTCTGCTCAAATCCTATCCACTTTGGACCACAGAAAACTTTGAAACTCCCAAAATTAGCTCTGAAACTATCAAAGTGAAAAGTGTGAAAAAACCTTTGCTTCAGACAATATGTTCCCAGCCCCCCCCCTCCACTTAGGCTATAGATGAAGTATAAAAGGCAATGGTAGAAATCATGATCTCAGACAAAGCAAAAGCTAAAACAGACCTAATTCAAGGAGATAAGCAGGGAAACTATATCTTGCTAAAAGGTACCATAATATAATATCAATATCCACCAAATATGCACCAAATGGCAGAGCATCCAGCTTCTTAAAACGAAAAGTTAAATGACTTATGGAGGGAAATAATAAAGCTATACAAAGGGTGACCTCAACTTTTCCCTCTCAGAACTAGGGAAATCTATGTATAAAATAAATTATAAAGAAGTTTAGGAGAGGAAAAGCATTGTAGAAAAGTTAGACATGATAGAACTCTGGAGAAAACTGAATGGAAACAAAAAGAAATATAACTTTTTCTCAGCTATACACGGCACCTTCACAAAAAGTGAACATATATTAGTGTATAAAAACCTCCGAAACAAATGGACAAATACAGAAATATTAAATGCAACTTTTACACACCACAATGCAATATAAATTACCAAGATGCGGAAGAACAGATTAAAAATTAATTGGAAACTGTCATCAAATTCTGAAGAATGACTGGATTGAAGAACAGATTACAGAATCAACCAATAATTTCACTCAAGAGGATTACAACAATGAGGCGACATGCCACAATTTGTGGGATGCAGCCAAAGTTGTCTTTAGGGGAAATTTCTATCTCTAAATGCTTCCATCAATAAAACAGAGAAGGGGCAGATCAAGGAATTGGGCATGAAATTTTAAAAAGTAGAAAAAGAAGAAATAGAAAATCCCCAATTAAACATCAAAACTGAAATCCCTACATCAAAGAGGAGATTAAGAAAATTTTTAAAAAATCAAACTAATAAATAAAAGTAGGTGCTGGTTTTATGAAAATACTAATAAAATAGATAAAGCATCAGTCAACTTGATTAACAAAAAGAAAGAAGAAAACCAAATTATCAGTCTCAAAAATGAAAAGGTAAATGCATAATCAAAGAAGATGAAATTAAAGTAATACTTAGGGGTTATTTTGCCCAATCACATGCCAGGAAAACTGACAATCTACATGAAATGGATATATATTTATAAAAATACAAACCGTCCATGTTAACAGAAGAGGAAATAGAATACTTAAATGATCCCACCTTAAAAGAAGACATTGAACAAGGCATAAAAGAGTCCCTAGGAAAAAAATCCACAGGACCAGAAGGATTTGAAAGTGATTCTACCAAGCATTTAAAAAACATTTTATCCCAATACTATACAAACTATTTGAAACAACAGGTAAAGAAGGAGTCCTATCAAATTCCTCTTCTGGCACAAATGTGGCGTTGATACCTAAAGAAAGCTGTGGGAATATACACACCTTAATGCATTCTTGGGGGAGCTGTGAAATGACACATCCGTTTGGAAAGTAATTTGGAATTATGTGAAGAAAGTAACAAATATGTCTAGTCTTTAAAAAAAGCATTCCATAACACCCCAAGGAATCCATTAATAAGAAAAAATTCCCCATATACTCCAAAATATTTATAACAGCGCTTTTTGTGACAGCTGTGAATTGGAAGCAGAGTAGATGTTCATCAACTGGGGAATGGCTCAATGAGGCATGGAACACGAAGGTCATGGAATACTGCTACCATGCAGTAAGAAATGATGTGTGTGATGAGTACAGAGAAGTATGGAAAGATCTTTGTGAATTGATTCAAAGTGAATTAAGCAGATCCAAGAAAACAGAATATATATGTACATATATATGTGTGTGTATATCTATATATACACACACACACACATTTACTCATACACACACACACACACACATACACAGAGTAACTACAATAATTGAAATGGAAATAATGACACACAAAAAATTAAAAGTACCTGTAACAAAATGTTAAAGATCAAGTGGGACTGAAAAAGGAAACATGAGAAGACACCATCACCCTGTTCAGGACGTGAGAGGTTCACAGATGTGACATACTGCACACCTTTTCCACATGCATCAATCAGTTGTGCTCAATTTTTTTTTCCTTCCTAAAACAAAAATACAATTTGTTACATGGTATGACTCTCCAGGATGAAGAGAGGGAGGGACACATGGGATACCTTGGTGATGTAAAAAACAGAAAACATCACTAAAAATATTTTAAGGAGGCTAAGCACCTCCAGGGTAATAATGGAGGGCAGGAGGAGGAAAGAAAGGGGTTTGGGTTCATGACAATCAGTAGCAGATGTTAAACTATACTACAAATCACTGATTATGAAAACAATTGCTCTGATTCTAAGTTCCCGGATTAAGAGCCATTCTCCAATAGGACAAAGGAAAAGGGGCCTTTTCAAAGGAAGAAATCCAAACTACCAATAGCCCTATGACAAAATGCTCCAAAATCCCCCATAATGAGAGAAGTGCACATTAAAACAACTCTTTTCTTTCAGTCGGTAAATCATAGAGATCCGCAGGTTCAGGGACAGTTCCCTCTTTCTCTTCCACGATAAGGTACATGGAAAGGCCCCTTTCACCAGGTGCTGGCTGAAAGCAGAACAAAAACAAATACACCATTGAATCGAAGGACACCAGACCGAAGAGATGATACGGAGAAGGGGAGAGGAAGAGTTCCTAGACTGTCTCCTCTCTCCCCAGCCCTGAGGCCAAGCCAAGGATGAGAGGAAGGGAGGAAGAAAGGATGGAAACGTCCACCTGGGGAAGGGATGCAGGGAGTGTCCCCAAAGGCTTCTCCCTGCTGGGCTCCACCCTACGCCCCGCCACGTCCCAGACCTCCAGACCAAGGTGTGGGCAGGCAGGAAGCCCCAGGCAGGAACAGCCCTGGAGAAGCAGGTACACACGAGTACGTACACACACATACACACAAGCACACACACACACGTACATGGGTACATACACATGAGTACACACACATGCGTACATAGGTACACACACACATACACACGAGTACACACACACGCACGTACATAGGTACATACATACAACACACGCATAAACAAGGGTATTAATACTCCCACGACTGCCCCACCCCCATGCACACACAAAGGCCCCTGGGCACTAAGACAAGCCAATCTGTGGTGGGGGGACTTCAGGAGAAGACAGAAGAGAATACAAGGGGGGGATGCAGAGGGGCGGGAGGGGCCTTGGCAGAAGGGGGAGGGGACGCTTACCTCGCACACAGCCACTCGGGACAGTGCAGGAATTTCTGGGATCTCTCACGTGACCGGGGTTGGGGGGTGGGGGCACAGAAGGGCAGGGAGTTGGGGGCGGGCAGATCTCCAGCTGGCGCCCCCAGACTCAGGAGAAAAGAGAACTCCCTCTTCCCCCTCCTCCTCCTCGTCTTCCCACAAAAACCACTGACCTTGGCCAAGGGTAGGGTGGCGGGTACGGTGACGTCACAGTAGCGCAGTGGAGTAGCCACTCAGAGCAGAGGGAGGAGGGAGAAAGAGGGCGGGATCTGTGACGTCACGCCCAGAGGCGTGAGAAGCCCCCGCCCCAGTCCTTTCTCTCAACTCCCATCACTCAGCCTGGGGAGGGGAGGGGGCCACAGTGCTTGGAGGAGGGCCCAGGACTGAACCAGGTCCCACTTTCCTAGGGGCAGCTGCTGGGGCTGGGCAGGATGGGGTGGGGCAGCTGAGCTAAGCTTGGGGCTATCAGGGGTCAGCCTCTTTACAGATAACCTGGAGAGGGAGGCCCGGGATGGCAGGGGCAGGGTGTCCTGGGCTCCACTTAAGGGAACAGCCCAGTAGCTGAAGCAGCAGCAGACCACCAGCCCCTGAATGGGACTTGGATACCTTACTACCCCCAGAGCAGAGGAGGAAAGGGGCAGTGGATAGAGCTCCAGCCTTGGAGTCAGGACGACCTGAGTTCAAATCCAACCTCAGACACTTGACACTAGCTGTGTGACCTTGGGCAAGTCACTTAACCCCAATTGCTTCACACACACACACACACACACACACACACACACACACACACACAAAAGTCATTTCCAATAAAACTATCTAATTTTATCTCATGATAATTCAGCACCCACTTATTGGCCTGATTGAATTTTTTCATGAAATACCTGTCTACATCCTACTGTCTCTTTAATGTGTGAGAAGTCCTTATGCCAATTTAACCATTTGCCAAAATGAGTTTTCAAGGAGTTACACAACAGCTTAGGTTAAATGAGATGATGACAACAGATATAAAAAACATCACTTCAGCACCAAAGACACTGGAAAGCTCTCCCAGATATCCTCTCAGTAAACCACCTAATCTGGTAATACTCACATATGCATCAGAGGGAGCCCAGGGGGATCACAACCTTGAGCAGCTAGGTGACACAATATATAGTACAGTGGGCCTGGAGTCAAGAAGTCTCATCTTCCTGAGTATAAATCTTGCCTCGGACACTTATTAGCTGTGTGACCCTGGGCAAGTCACCTAACCCTCATTGCCTGAGTTCTTCATTGATCAAATGAGCTAGAGAAGGACATGATAAACCATTGCAGTATCTTTGCCAAAAAAAAAAAATGAGGTCAGAAAGAATCAGACACAACTCAAAATGATCCAACGAAACCCAGCCATACTGTAGTGCTACAAAAACATTACGTGTACCTTGCTCAGATGCACCCAGATCCACATTGGTCATTTATCACTACCACAGACAACAATGTATGCTGTATCTTCATCATAGAAAAAAAAGACCAATGCATTACAAAATCTAGGTCCAGGGAGATCACTTCCCAGAAAACTTCATTTTTCCTACAGCTGCTTTGCTCTGTTATCAGAATGATGAAAGACATGGCCCAAAATGTTATTTCATTTCTTTTTCCCAATCTCAAAACCATTCACAGTGAATTGGTAAAGGCCAAGTTCTGTGTGATAGGAATAATGTGTACCAGTATTTCTCCTCAACATGGGTTCCATCCATGCCTCTTCCTTCCCTAGTAAAACAGCACTTAGTTTTCCCCAAAAGTTGACCAAGCTATTCCTGGAGCCCCAAGGCAATCTTTGTATACTTCTCTAATTAACTCACCATCCCACTCACTACTATGGCTCTTCAGAAAATTATTGATCCTCCTCAAACCTCCTATGGCTCCTCCCCACACCCACCCACCCTCTCAGCTGAGAACCTTGTATCATATCTTACTGAAAATATTGAGGTCATTCCCCTAGAGTTCCTTCTTCTCCCCTCCCTTCTCTCTCACATCACTCAGATGCCTTCTGCCACTGTCTCCTCCCCCAGCCCTGTCTCACACAGAGATATGCTTATTCCTTATTGAGCCAAACCTTCTCTACCTGTACAAGGGTCCCCTTCCAGCCCATTTCCTCCAGCAGACCACTCCCTCTATCATCCCCATTCTCTCACTTCAATATCTCCCTGTGTACTGGATGTTTCCCCCCTGCCCACAAACATGTCTATGTCTCCCCCATCCTTAAAAAGTCTCTCCCTGGATCCATCCATCCTCTCTAATTGTCGTCCCACCTCCTTTTGTGGGTAAACTCCTTGAAAAGGCCATTTGCAATAGTCACCTCTATTTGCTTTCCTCTCTCTTCTTAACTCTCTACAGTTGACCTCCTGCCCTCATCATTCAGTTGAAACTTCTCTCACTAATGTTGCTCACTATCTCTTAGATGCCAAATCCAATGGCCTTTTCTCAGTCCTCACCTTTCCAGATCACTTTCCAGCCCTTAACACTGTTGTTCACCCTTCTCTTGATACTTCCATCTCTCTGAGTTTTTGTGACATTATTCTCTCCAGGATCTCCTTTTAATCAGTCAACAAACATTTAAGAAGTACCTATTGTGTGCCAGACACTGTACTGAGAACTGGAAATACAAAGAAAGGTAAAGGACAGCACCTGCCCACAGCACCACACCATGGCCATGCCATCTCAGTATCTTTAGCTGGATCTTCACCCAGGTCATGCCTGCTACCCATGAGTGTCCCAGGGGGCTTCAACCTGAGCTGCCTTCTCTTCTATCTCAATACTACTTCACTTGGTGCTCTCATCAGTTCCCATGGAGTCAATTATCTCTATTCAGATGATTTTCACATCTTCTTGTCCAATCCAAACCTCTCTGCTGGCCTCCAGTCTTGAATCTACAACTTGCCTATTGGACGTATCCAACTGGATGTCCTGTAGACATCTTCAATTCAACATGTCCGAAACAGAACTCTTTATATCCCTCTCCCCTCAACATTCCTTCCTTTCAAAATTCCTTATACCTGCTGAAGGTACAACCATCCTCTCACTCACCCAGGCCCACAACATAAGGGTCCTCCTTTACTCTTGACATTCTCATCACCCCTAAACCAGTATGTTGCCAAACATGGTTCTTGGTACATAAGTAAGCAGTTAAAAAAGCACAGTGCTTTTCATTCATTCATTCACTTGTTCATTCATTTACTTTTCATTGTCAGCCTGTGCGCTTGTCAGGAAAGCTGATACTGCGGGTGTAGGTGGGAGTAGATTGTCAAATATGAAGTTCCCATATTATTGGGAAGGATGAAATTGGAGGGGGAGAATGGGTCAGGGATATGAAAGATCTTTAAAGATATCTGAAGGAGCCGCTGAACAAGGGGTCATTCTCCTATGCCTCCTTTGTTGACAGGGTAAACCCATCAGAGACTGAAGTTTCCAGAGGATGCAGGAATCAAGTCTTCAGCTGCATGGCAGATGAAGAGAGTGAAGTCTCCTAGAGGGCATAGGGTTGTGTAGCTACATCATGTATAGCTCTTCCACTGTGAGTGTGTATGTGTGTGTGTGTGTGTGTGTGTGTGTGTTTGAGTGTAGAGGAGGGTGTGTAAGAATGGGTGGCTTTGTACTAGAGAGAGAGCAGGAGGGAAGTGGAGAGCCCAGTCCAGCAGAGACAGTTCCCTCCTTTCCTTTCTCTCTCCTCCTATCACACTTTCCTCCCTCTGCCTCTCAACCTCAACATACTCCCTGTGATCCTGGTGGAGATCCTAGACACTGGCTTCTGCCTCATCTCTCTTCTAGGCCTTTATCAGTGAGGGGGGAGGCAGGAGAGCAGCAGCTGCCCTGGGGCTCTTCCCACTTCTGTTAGGGAGGCAGCATCCCTAAGCGGGAACAGCTGGAAGGAGGGGTAGTGTTGCTCAGCCTTCAGGGCTCCAGAAGGGGAGAGCTGAGGGAAAGGGAGCAGGATCTCTAGCCTCTGTTAGAAAGTTGGAGTTCTGACCCGTCTCTGCCTTGGCTGTCCAACAGGAGAAGGGTGTGTGTGTGTGTGTGTGTGTGTTTGCTTGGGTTTGTCTGTCTAGTGCTCTATGTCTAGCCTGTAGCTGCCTTAACTAGGTTGCATTAACACATGCAACAGATAGAGCCTGGGATAGACACTAGAGGGTCAGTCTGGAAGTCAGGAAGACCTGGGTCCAAGTCCCACCTGCTGGCTTGTCCCTAAGCAAATCACTTAACTCCCCTGTGAACCAGGCAACTCCCCAATCCCTGGCTGATTGACATCAGCAGCAGGACTCTCCAAGCTGGAGTGCCCCCACACCAGTGAAATCACAAGGCTGGATAAAATAAGCATGCCAAGAATAGAAGCAACTCTCCATGGTCCTGATCAGATCAAACCTAGACTGTCATGTTCACTTCTAGGATCCACATTTAGGAAGGACACTGACAACCAGGGAGGGTGAGGGGCCTGGAAACCTCATGCTGTGAGGAATAGATGAAAGGAGGGGGGGGTCATGTGGTAGAAGGAGGCCTGAATGTAGAATCAGGACCTCGGTTTGATTTCCAGTTCTACAGCCTGTGTGACCCTGGGCAGTCACTGAACCTCCTTCCTAGGCCTCAGTTTCTTCTTTAAGCAAAGGGAATTGGGCCCTGCCAGCTGTAAATTCCATGAATCAATATGTGGGTGGTATTTCACTCTGAAAGAGAGAAAGCAGAGGAGGCAATGGTAGCTGTCCTCACACATCTGAAGGACAGTCACAGGGTAAAGGGATTAGACTTGATGTGGCTTCAGAAAGGATACCTAGAACCAAAGGGAGAGATGAAGTGCTGGGCACCTAGTAGGTGCTTAATAAATACTTCTGGGGCTCACTGATTAGCGGATTGTTTACAGGGGTGCAGGTTTTTCTTAACATAGTAAAAAACTGAACTTTCCAAATGAATGACCTAGGCTGTGAGGTAATGAGTTCCCCATTATTGAAGGACTCCAGGCAGAGACTGGCTGACCTCTTGGCAGGGATAGCACAGGGAGGATTCATTGTGTCTCAGATAGGAAATGAGAGGCTGACTCTAAGTCCTTTCCAAGCCTAAGATTTGAGGCTCCTGTGAGCTGTCTCTTTTGGCACTGCTTTGGTGGGATGAGCGGGTATCA